ATCCTCTCTGCTACAGTAATCCAGGGCATAGTTCTTCAACCTTTACACCAGCATACTAGCAGTGAATGAAGCCCATAGTATATTGGTCATTTTATGGCCAAATGAAATACTCTTATTGTTGCATTCAGGGAGATGATATTTAATGGCACTAATGTATATTAAAAGAAATAGTGTTTATGCTGTTTTTGCTCATCTGATTATTATTCCTTGGTTTCCAGACATTTTGAATAAAGGTATAATAAGCAGGAATTTTAAATTATTTTATTAACAAGCTACCATGTCCTTTATAATATCAATACATATTACTTCTTTCTATTGATTAGCAAAATATATTTAGATATTGACCAAGACTCTCTTCCTGACTAACTTTAGGCTCCTCTAAGCCCTGTAGGCCTTGATCTTGATGTCCATCTTTGTCATACCTGCATCACCCAGTTGTAGCAAGCATCTTGCTAAGGCAGTTTAGAGAGCCCCTCCCCCATTCTTGATATCTGATCAAATTCCTCACCCCTGACCCTTGATGTCTGATTACCCTGAAATCCTATTATGGCTCCCTCTCTCACCGCTCTTAATAACTTTCCATCCACTCATGCCCACCCTGCTCCTTGGCTATAAATCCTCACTTGTCCAGGCTGTATTTGGGACTGACCCCAGTTTTATGCTGAGGTCTCTTTTCCCCTGAATGGAATCTGTTTTTACTGTTTGACCTACTGTCCACCTCTGGGTTTCTTTAACAATCTCATCCTAAAGTAGGAATTTAAGAAATTTCAACAAAGCCAAACAAATACCTACTAGGTACCATTACTATGCTAGGGGGTCATATCAGTTAGGGACTAAGCAGGAAACAGAGCCACTTGAACTTGTAAAACATTTAACACAGGGCATCGGTTACATGGGTGATGAAAGAGCTGAGAAGCTAAACAAGGCACGCTAAGTCAGGGCAGAGATTCCTAAAGCAGGAACCTAGGATTAATACTCCTGGGGGGGAGGGGGGATGGCAGGGAGGTGGAATTACCCAATCCCAGGGAACAGGGTTACATGGCAGAAGTTAACACCGTGGTGCACCTAACCAACAGGAACGGGGGCCATGAAGAAGACAGGCTGTGCCAGAAACCTCACCCAAGGCAGAAAAGACAGGGGAGGGGAAAGACTTTTGCTTCTCTCTCCTACACGTCTAATGAGCAATCAGTGTTCCCCCATTGGCCAACTCCCACTGGAACCCCAGAAATACAGTCTGCAGAGGTCCCCTCACTTAGAGCAAAGCAGGGGAAAGGCAAGAAATGGATCTGAGGCTGGAGACACTACAGCTGGCAGAGTGGTTCATTTAGTATTTATTTAATTTGTGCAACACTCAGTAAGGTACCGTTACCCACTTTACAGCTGAGGAAACCTTAGTTCATCAAGTGACCCAAAGTCACAAGGCCCATAAGGGGTAGATCTGGAAGTTTTACAAGGTCTCTCCTGATCCAAAGCCCCTACAGCTTGCTCAGCAAAGACTTGAACATCACTGCTGGGCTTTCCATGCTGCTAATCCTGAAAGAACGGTTCCCAGGAGGACTGATACGCTTCTGGAAAACAAAATAGGGAGATCTTTTTTTTTTTTTAAAGATTTTTTATTTATTTATTTGACAGAGAGAGACACAGCGAGAGAGGGAACACAAGCAGGGTGAGTGGGAGAGGGAGAAGCAGGCTCCCCGCAGAGCAGGGAGCCCGATGCGGGACTCGATCCCAGGACCCCGGGATCATGACCTGAGCCGAAGGCAGTCGCTTAACCGACTGAGCCACCCAGGCGCCCAATAGGGAGATCTTCTAAGTCATAGAGAGACACTCCTGTAATGTAAGGCTACAGGACCTAAGAACCCAGCTACAGACCTTGAACCTTTTTATTAAACAAAACAAAGATCCTGGCTTAACTGCTTACATAAATCATTATTGTTCTGCTTAATGGGGCTGCCATAAACCTAATAACCTGAAGGATTTGAAAGCATTTTAATGAAAAATACGCTGGCATTTTAGAGGAAAGTAATTTGGCCCTGGGGGACAGTTTGGATACAAGGACAATAAGCTCCGTTTCCTGGGCAATGTAACACATTAGCACAGATGAGTTTATCTGATAAGGTGCTGCCAGCAAAGAGCAAAACCTGAAGACAAGTAGAAGGGCACAGAAGAAGTGGTTTTTATAGAGTCTGACAAGAGGTAAGGGGGGGAGGAAGGAAGATGAGCTATCTTACAGAGAAATAAGGCTCCATCAAGAATAATGGAATTGCTAGGGAAGTTTATTTGGTTTGTTATTTGTTTTTTGTTTAGCAGATTTTCTATGTTCTTATTAAGTGTGTTACATGATCCTATGGTTGTCAGGCCATATTAGAAAGTGATCTTATATAGATTTAAAGATTAAGTAATGTGGAAAACCTTCTTGGATGCTTGTACAACAGGTGTCCACATTTTCTGATCTCTATAGCCTGATGGGTTCATAGGCCTCAGATAATCCATGGTTATAGCTATTTCCCCTGGAGCCATGTGGCAGTGTTTAAAATTCCTGATTTACAATTTTTTGTACTCTTTGTACTTAGATGTTTTATGGCTTGCTTGATGTGTTGTAGAGACAAGCTAGGCTCAGAATCTTCCCGTGGGCTCTGTGTGGCCTCCTGTAATCTAGTATCAAGCCTAATCCCCACTCTGCAATTGAGCCATTGGAGAAACTTTCTCATTTGGCCCCAGTGATGAAAAAGAGATGAGCACACAAAGTCAAACCCATTTGAGGCCATTGCTGGTTTTTTCCAACTGAAGCTAACCATAAAGCAGTTAGGATATAATACTCTAAGATGTTGCCAGTCACATTATAGCAGATAGAAAAATCCTTTGAGCATCAGGAGATAATGAAGCTGATAAACTAAGGAGAGAGAACCAAGAGGATGTGTGTCAGTAGTGTTTAAGTTCTAGTTCCAACCCCCTGGTTCATGCAGCTCAAACCCTTCCAAGTGCTTCTGTCACTTGCAAAGTCCTTGCTTAAAATAGTTTTTAGTGTAGATATAATGCTGGTGATTCAAATATAAGTGAAACTTCCTGAAGCCCCGCTTCTGAACCCATCACTTGTGGAAATCAAAACTATACACAACCCCTCCAAAGACATTAGCTAATTCCTGGGAAATTTACATTATTCCCACCACTCCTGCGATGGGGACCCAGCATCCTTGCAAGTTACCTGTACCATACCATGAACAAAGCACACAACAGGACAGGCTCTTCTATGAACAGCCTCCATAAAAATCACATTTGTGAGTTTAGAGGACTGCACTAAAGATTTAATGGAGGCTAGGTCCTGACGCACAGCCATGTTGCATACTTCATGGCCTTTTACCATTGTTTCATTCTCTCCCATCTCCTACCCCTTTTGTTCTCTCTTTTCTTCTCAGTAGCAGTACCAAAAAAAATTAAATGCATATTCCCCATACATGGAGATTCATTCATCATAATCTGTTGCCTTTACATCTCAATTATTCAACTTCACTCCAAATGTCTTACTACGATAATTTCCTAATAAAATTCTTTCACAGTCTGATGCCAGCTAGAATTTTACCACAATACATAACATTTTCTGTGAATTTCTTTTGTCTTTTTTAAAAAGTAAAGTTTTAGATATTTGAAGTAGTAAATTGTATCTAATTTTATATTCTGCCTTCTTCATCTCACTTGAGACCATAAGCATTTTCCCGTGTGAATAAAAGCTCTTCAAAAATCATGATAGTTAATGTCTTTGTAGTATTTTTATTATATAAATGTATGCTAATGTACCTGTAATTCTCCTAATCTTGAGTATTTGTTTTTAGTTTTCACTACTGTAAATAACAATGCAATGAACATCTTTATGGGTAAATGTTTGCATTTTTTATTCCTCTTCTGGAATTGTTTCCCAAAAAATGAAATTATAGAAGGTATGAGAAATATTAAGGCTCTTAACCAAATCTCTAAATTGGTTTTTCAGGATGCTTATGTAAGTTTAAAATCTCTCTGGCAGTGTATGAAAATGTGCTTATTTCACTTCATCTTTGTTATCTTGTGAGTGTTTCACTTCACCTTCTATAAAAAAGTGCTTATTTCACTTCACTCTTGTTACCTATGTAAACCTGGTTGTCAAGTTTTTAAATTTCCTAACTGGTAAGTGAAAAAGGATTCATCATTATATCTCTTTAATTACTAGGGAGGCTGAGAAAGTTTTATACAAGTTTAGCCTTTTATAAATAGTCTGTTCATGTCCTTTGCCACTTACATATTAAAAGCAAAGTCTGACATCCCACCTAACCCTCCATCAGAAACAAATTCTTTTAATATTTCTGTTTGAATTTGTTTTGGTGGTTTTCACCGTAATCCAATAGCATGTTCAAACTGTCATTTCTCATTTTACCAAATTTAGACAATATGTATTAGTTCCTGGGTGTGGGGTGATAAAAAAAGATTTGACTCACATTTTATAGCTTAGATTCCCACCAAAAACAGACCCTGAGACAAGGATTTATGTACAAGTAGTTTATTTGGGAAGGCAATTCTGGGAAGCACAGTGAGGGAGTGAGGAAGTATAACACAGAAGAGAGAAAAGCCAATGAATAGCAGGTTAATGAGTGAGTTATCTCTGTGGGCAACTGGGCTAAATGTTTCTGGGGACCCCGTAAAAAGACAACTCAAAGTTGTCTGCCTGATTGCAAACACTCATCCTCATTGTTTGAAGGTTATTTCTGAGCCATCTTCTTAGCACTTACGGCCTGTCCACCTTACAGGTCAAGCCCATTCTAGCAGAGAGAAAAAGACACAGGAGGCCATCACGCCAATCTGTGCAGGAATTGTCTCTGGTGGTCTCTGGGGTAGGCTGTAGGGATATGGGTAGTACACCAACAGCCTCTTGGTGTACAACAGTACACCAACTCTTCCTCCCTAAGTGTGATATTCTTGTTTTTATTATTTTTTTATTGTTCTCTTGGTTGCCTTGATAATGTAAATAGCATACTCTAGATATTTTTTTTTTTTAAAGATTTTATTTATTTATTTGACAGAGAGACACAGTGAGAGAGGGAACACAAGCAGGGGGAGTGGGAGAGGGAGAAGCAGGCTTCCCGCAGAGCAGGGAGCCAGATGCGGGGCTCGATCCCAGGACCCTGGGATCATGACCTGAGCCAAAGGCAGATGCTTAACGACTGAGCCATCCAGGTGCCCTTAGATACTTTTAACATTATCTCTTTTTGAATCCCACTTTGTGAGACAAGAAGATTGACACTCATGCTCTTTCTCAGCTCTTCCTCTTCCCTTCTGTATGTCACCCTCTGCACCTACAAAGTTAATATTTACATTATTTCTGGCTATCATTGCAGGGCTTCTTTGTTGTGTCTTTAGGTTGACTCTAAAAACTGAGACCCAATACAAAACATTTCCATATTTATGATTATATAAGCAGTGCTTATTAAAGGCCCAAGAAATCTGTTTGGATTGCATTTCCTCCTCTGTGTGTACAATAGCTTGACCCAATGCCACCTGAAGAGAAAATTAAGGTTAACATGCTTAACTTCATGCCATGTGTCACTTAGCATCATATTCGAACTGTGACTTCTCCAACTTTTTATTTTGCTCAGGGATTCTATTTGCAATTTTTCTCTTGGTTTATTTGTATTTAGCATACTCTTGAGTTTTTTCTAAGCTCAAAAACTCGTTTTATTCTATAGAGCTCTCCCTTTCAGAGCCCTCTGTCCTTTTCTTCCTAACTGGATGAGGTACTAACTGCTCAAGAACTAATTGTTTTTTAAGTGCTCATGAGTCCCTTCTCATCACTTTATTTGTTTGATCCCACTGTTTTTAGTATTTCATATTCTTGGTTTATTCTCTCATTTTATTGGACTATATCCTTAATAAGAACACTTTCAACTTTCCTAGAACTTACATGCAAGAAAAATATACATATTCTGCCCTCACACTAAATTGATAATTTGTTGGATACAAATTTCTGGATTGAAAATAACTTTGTGACAGAATTTTCAATTTATAGTGCCCTACTCTCCAGGTCAGTTGGAAAAAAAAAAAAAAAGAATCTGATGTCAGCATGATTCCTTGTGATTTGGTTTTTTGTCTTTGAAGATTTTAAGATCATCAAATAATCTCAGTATTATGAAAGTTCATGATACTGTCTAGGTGTGTCCTTCTACAATTGTTTTCCTGGACAGTAGGTGGGTCCTTTTAGCCTGAAAACTTTTTTCTTTAGTTCTGGAAAATCCTATAAATGGTGAAACCCCACCGTAGGTTATCAGTTGTTGTTTAAAACAAATGGGCAGATTGCCACTGTGGATATTCTGTGATACTGAGTATCTTGGCCTCTTTTCTGAATAGATCCCTCTCCAGTATAAAAAAATTTGAGAACTCTAGTGAGGAAATTCAGGGTATGTCAATAAATATAATCTACTTCACTGTGAGCTAACAGAACTATTTGTGAGGCCACAAATCTGCCCAAATTCTAAAATGAGAAAAACTTTTTTGGAAGCTCCAAAATCTTCACCAGAAGTCTTAGTTATTTCTAAATAATCAGATTTGTGTTTTGTTTTTCCTTTAAAAAAAGTTGGGGGGGCAATTGCAGGGAGGACAACAAATATTTTGCCTTGGAAAATGCCATCTGCTTCTCCATGAGCAGGGCAGAAGAGACTAAGGAAACCTATAGGTACAGTTGGCCCATATAGAGTCATTTAATTAATTCCTCTGATTTCAGCCTCATTCACTTTCCCACCTGATCAAATCTGAGCTCAGAACCTCCATGGGGTTCTATTTTGGTAAGCTGCTATATTCTCACTATCCCTTTCTCATAGTGTTATAGGTATCATTTTCTCTACCTGCTTCATCAATCCACTAATTTCTTTCTTCCAGAAATTGTTTTAAAATGTGCTTAATCTATCTTCCTATTTAAGCATAACCTTAGGTTTTTATTACTCATTTATATGAGCATTTCACATATGAATTTATGTGTCTATACATTTTCTTATTTCAAACAGGACTTAAGATAGAGATTGCTTTCAGGATATATATACCAGGATAGATATATAGACACACACACACCAAATTGTAATAAACCCTTTTAGGCCTAATAGATGTATATGCATATGTATCTTGATAACAACAGTAAATAATAAAATAAAAATTAAGGCTTCAACCTATATTGCTATAAAAATCTTTATGTTCTAGATAACTAGCTATGAGATAGCTGTAGTAAGTAGAAAAATGACCCCCCCCAAGATGTCCTACCTCCTAATCCCCAGAATCTGAATATGTTACATTACAAGGCAAAGAAATGTTATGGTTGCAGATAGAAATAAGGTTATTAATCAGCTGACTTTAAGATAGGGAGATTATTCTGTATTATCTGGGTGGACCCAATATAATCAAAAATGTCCCTAAAATAGAAGGAGGCACAAATATAATAGTGTCAGAATAATGCAACTTGAGAAATTAGACCACCACTGCTGGCTTTGAAGATTGAAAAGGACCATATGCCAAGGGAAGCAGGCAGCTTCTAGAAGCTGGAAGCCAAGGAAACAAATCTTCCCATACACATTGGTTTTAGCCCAGTGAGACAAGTTTGGGACTTGTGACTTCCAGAACTGCTAAGATAAATTTGGGTTGTTTTAAGCCACCAAATTTGTGATAGCTTAGTAATTTGCTCTATTAGGATACTAATCTACCTCTCTAGGATTTAATCTCTCTAGGATTCCTATTGTAATAAAGATTCTGGACTCCAGAATGGGCAAAAGCAGCTTAGCAGCACTATCTAGAAAATGCTATCATTTAGCACATTATTTCCATCCGGGTGTAGGTGAAAGCAGAATAATAATATATCGTTTAATGATATTAATATATATCATTTTTTAATGTGGTTTTAAATATAATTCTTGGAGAAAATTAAGGAGTACAATTGCAAAAGCTTCTCTTTGAACTGCTTAAAATGCATATGGCAATGTTGAATTTCCTTATTTATTAAAAGCAACATTTCCAACTCAACCCATTATATTTAGTTTTTGATGACTGTGAATTGACTGCAGTTTCTAATTTCACATCAGTTTGAAAAGTTGGTACTACTTGCCTTCAGATCTAGGATCAATACTGGTTAACACCAAAGTGTGAACATTTGCTAAGGGACAGATGGCTTGTATCACTCCTTTAACTCTACAATGAGTCAATTCTTATGAGTCATCATTCCTGAGTCCTACCAGGAATGCAGTAGAAACCACTAGTTAATTCCCTACAAAGAAGTTCACTCCTTTCAAAAATCTGTCATTGCATCTGACTCCACAGTGGACAGACTTGGCAAATAGGTCAACAGGCTTTCCTGCTTTGTTATAATGATTCATGGACACTGGGTAAATCAGGAAGCTTAGCCAGCTGCTTTCTTTGTAAAACATGGTCTCTGGGCAAGTAAACAAGTACATTTAGCCCAGGATTCAGCACAGGTTGAAATGATCCCTTGAGAACTAAACACTCAATGAAGTTTAAAAAAGGGAGAGGGGGAGAGCCAAAACTTGGAAAAAAGAGTAAAAAAAAACTGTGCAAGAAGCATTGCTTAAGAAAGGTTGTTCAGAAACAGTTGAATAGTAGTTTTTCTTCTCATCATACTAAACTGTAATAAAACCTTTTATGCCTAATTAGGAACTATTATACAGCTGGGGTCAGCCATTTGATAGATCACCAGGGAAACCATTAAAAAGCATGCACTTGGAAGAAATTCAAAAGCAGTGCTATAGAAACCACAACTGAAATTATCTAGACCCACCCCCAAAAGCATGGGGTGAAATCATGAGTTTCTAAAATCATAAACCAAATTTTCCCATTGATTTAAATATATGTAATTACTTTCCCAAAGCCTCTGTCTCTGAAGATAATGAATACTGACAACCACAGGAAAAGTAAGTCAAGCAGTAAAAGAAAAGCAATGATTGAGAAATATAATTGTGCCCAAAACTCCATCTGCTTAAAATCTTAGAGACTTGGGACCTATATGACCAGAAATCGCTACCACAATCATCAAGGAGTATGTGGACAAGTCACTACCTATGTATGTAAAGCAGATTTTAAAAGTGGTTAAGAACTCCCTAGAGTCCATACTGTCTTAGTTCAAATCCAGGCTCTGACACTGTCGTAGAATGAAGGCATACTTAAATTCTGTGTCCTGGTTTCCTCTTCAGTAGAAAAAAAAAATAGAATTGTTAAGAGAAAAGAGTTAGTATGTAAAGTACTAGAACAGTGGCCAGTACATAGAAGTGCTATTTACATATCAGCTGTAATATTGTTGTTACCTTTAAGAAATCGGATTTTTGAAATGCCTGTGGCTTCTATGTACTTATTTAAGGCAAAGATTCCAACTTGTCATTTAGATAAATGTATAAATTTAAGACAGTGTTGTTAGTTACATAGTCTATTTTACTTCCATATAGTGGCACCCACTTCGCAGCTGCCCTCAGACATAATGCTTCATTGTCACAGACTGTGTCTGTCCTTGGAGAATCTCTGGCTTCCAATCTCGTTGATTCCCTTCACTCCTAACACTGGTACCTGCAGCCATGAAAAGAACCCATCCCTGTACGTCTCAGGCATCAGGAACTCCGTTCAGGGTCCTTGTACCTTTCCCTCGCTGGTATCCCTCTACCAAACCACCTGTCCACACTGTTCTTTGCCCTACTCCAATAGCAAAGGGCAGGTGGAAAAGCCTGATAGCTAAGCAGAAATCTTTGATTTGTTCTTCTTTGACACCTACATGCTTTAAAAGAAATTTTCAGCCTCTCTTTGGGGAGGAAAACTAGTCAGGCACTCCATCTCTCTCCATCCCAGACCTCTAAAATTACCCGAAGGTAGTAGAACTGTGAATGCTGGCAGTACACGTTCTGCGAACACTGGCCTCTCAGCATGCCCTGGTGCCCTCCACAACAGCTAGTTCCCAAGCCTAGAAGTAGCATGCTTAGCAAACTTTGTTCTCTTTCTGCAAGCTTTAGAAGCCAATTGGTGGGGGGGACTCATTTAACACCCAATATCATGCTGTTACAATTATTTCTTATTTATCAGTTTTGTATTCTTTAAGACACTATAAAGCCTTTTGAGGAAATTAGCATGTATGGATAATTAGGCACTTTATATAACCTATAACCCTCACCACTCTGTGGGGAATGTATTATTTTCCCCATTTAGAGAGTAGGTATTGAGGAAAATCTGACTCCCTAAATCATGTTCATTTTACTAAATGAAACTTGAAGATCTGTGTTTACATTTTGATTAATCTTGGCACTTAGCAAAGTTACACAGAAACCTAGCATATTTTCAAAGTTCATACATGCTGTAGTAGGTATTAGTACTTCCTTTTTATTGCCAAATAATATCCCATTGTATGGCTATAGCACATATTTATATACCCATCCATTTCTTTATACTTTTGGCTATTGTGAGTAACGCTACTATGAAAATTCATGTACTAGTGTTTCTTTCTCTTGGGTATATACCCAAGCTTGGGATTAGTGGGTCTTATGGTAATTCTATGTTTAACCTTTTGAGGAACCGCCAGGCTGTTTTCCAAAGCAGCTTTCCATTTTGTTTGACGTTCTTGATTTCTCAGTTGTTTTTCCTCCTCTCTGATTCCTCCTCTCCAATTTCAGCTGGGTTCCTGAAGTACCAGTAACAAACCTCCAACAGAATTGATTATACCAACATTAGAGAATACACTTCATACTTTTATTACCCTGTACTTCCATTAAGATAGCCTCATCCTTCTCTTTTTTCCCTCTAGTAAAGTATGTATTTACAGACAAAGAAAAACCCTGAATACACATGTGCTATTGAGGTAAAGGACCACGGAAGAACAGTATTTCTTTGAGAGTTCTTCATTTCATAATTTCAGTGACTGGATTAATGTTGCATGCCAAACCATCGTTTTCCTGGGGTAAATACACATGGCAGGCAAGGGAGCAATATTTGTTTTAATGTCAAGAATATACTCAATCTTCTTCAACATTCCCCTGGTACCATTTTTCCAGAAATAAGAGAAGTAAATATCTGTGTTGGATATTTTAGCAAGCATTAAAATGAATCTCAAACTTAAATAAATTATAGAAGTAGAAAAAATGTAAGTGGCTTAAAAATACAATATGCTACAGGTTTCCCCCCCCCATTTTTAGTAGAATATCTATAGCATGGGCACATGGAAAAATGGCAAAATCAGAAAATAGAGTTTCAGAATTGAAACATCTCCTAAATCTCTTCCCTCTGTGGCACCAAAGAAGTTGTTTTCTGAATTTATTTTCATAAATACACATTTTTGAGGAGGATAGCAAAACTATTTTGAAATGGAAAAAATTACCCCTTCTAAAAGGCACTGTAATTTATAAACCCCTATTTACTGCTGCTCTTGATAAAAACATAATTTAACTATCATCTATAAACTCAGGTGTAAATGTCTAGCATAAAGTCTCAATGTGAAGAGCATAGTTACGCATTAAAAGAATTTTTCATCATGGAATCAGGCTTCTCTTGACCAAAAGGCTCAGGCAAAAGATAACTTAATGACTTACGTCACCCAAACATCCAAGAATAGATCTAACTTTAAGCACTGAGAGGTAGACTAGATGATATAATGAAGATCTGTTTTCTCTCTTACAGCCTCTTAGCTCCATCCCTCTATTGGGTCCATATTTTGAGAGGTTCTCACCTTACTATAGTGACAAATTTGGTTTTGTTTATATTCCTTCATTCTCACATCCAGTAGCATGTCTTTGTCCCAGAAATCACAGCAAATACTCATTGTGAATCATTAGTTCTAAATGGGTCAGGTTCCCATTTATGAACCAATCACCATAACCAGAGCAATGCAAAGTGCTGACTGGCTTAGCTTTAAGTGATGATGCCAAGGATGGAGTCAGTAGCACACAAATATATGGTTTCAGAAAGAATTTATGGTATAGCTACCAAAATAAAGGGGAATGGAGGCTGATGCCCAAAATATATAGGAAATGTGTACTAAAATGCTTAATACAAGTTATTAATAAAAGCAATACAGTAAAAAATGATTACACAATAGGAGAAAAAATTGATAAAATTCAATACTTAATCCTTAGATAAAAATTGTAGTAGCATTATGGAGTAATCATTGACATAAACTGCACATTTAAAGCATACTGTTGAATAAAGTTTAACTTATGTATACACTCATAAAATGATCACAGTTAAGACAATGAATACAACCATTACCTCAAAATGTTCCCTTATCCCCCTTTATAATCTCCCTTCAACCCCTCCCACTCAGCAACCACTGATCTGTTTCCTATCAATATAAATTTGTTGACACTCTAGAATTTTATCTGAATTAAATAATTTAGTTCACACTTCGGCTTGTTTCGCTCAGCATAATTATTTTGTGATTCATCCATGTTGATTATGTCAATAGCTTATTTTTTATTGTCCTGTCCATTGCATGGATATCTCCCAGTGGATTTTTTCATCTGTGACGGACATTTGGCTTGTTCTCAGGTTAACTATTACAAATAATGTGGCTATGTACAAGTCTTTGCATGGGCATATACTTTCATTTCTCTTGGGTAAGTGAAATGTTTTGGTCATAAGGTAGATCTAGATCTAACATTCTAGAAATTTGCCTATTTTCCAAAGAAGTTTCCAAATTCTACCATTTCACAATTCTAATCAGCAGTGCATGAGAGTTCCAGTTTTCGGATCCTTGCCAACACGAAGTATGGTCAGTCTTAAATTTGAAGCATTTCAATACCTTATTGTCATATCTTATGCTTTCATTTTTTGATATCCTAATGACTAATAATGTTGAGCATCTTTTCCATGTGCTTACTTACCACTCATAATATCTCCTTTGATGTGATGTCTGTTTAATACTTTGGCTCATTTAAAGACATTTTATTCATTTGATTATTTTCTTGCTGAGTTTTGATGAGTTTGAGTTCTTTATATATATTTTGGATACTAATCCTTTATCAGATGGGTGATTTGCAAAAGTTTCTTCCAGTCTGTGGCTTGTCTTTCATTCTAAGACTGTCTTACCAAGAACATTAATTTCTTGAAGTTCAGTTCATCAATTTTCTCTTCAATGGATCTTGCTTTTGCTTTTTGGTGTCCTAAACAAGAAATCTTTGCCTAGCCCCAGGTTACAAAGATTTTCTTTTAGGTTATCTTCTAGAAGTTTCAAGGTTTCTTTTCATTTCCATTTGCATGATACTTTTCCATCCCTTCACTTTCAATCTGCATGTGTCTTTAGGCCTGAAATGAGTCTCTTATAGGCAGCATATAGATAGATGGGTCTTGCTTTTTTATCCATTCCATCACCTTATGTCTTTTGATTGGAGCATTTCATCCATTTACATACAAAGTGATTATTAATAGGTATGTACTTACTGCCATTTTGTTATTTTACTATTGTTTTTATACTCCTTCTGTTTCATCTCTTGCTCCCCTCTCTCACAGGCTGGCTTTCTTTAGTGATCTACTTGGATTCCTTTCTATTTTTTGTATATCTATTACTGGTTTTTTATTTGTGGTTACCATTATGTTTATATATAACATCTTATGCACGTAACAGTCTATATTAAGTTAATGGTCACTTAAATTTGAGCCATTCTAAAAGCACTAAATTTTTACTCTTCTCACCACCCCCCCACCCTCAGTATATGGTGTCATACTCTACGTCCTTTTATTTTGTGAATCCCTTGACACATTTTTATAGATATAATTAATTTCACTGCTTTCGTGCTTCCTAATTTTCTTACTCCTGCTTATGGTCTTTCCACTCAGAGTCCCATTTAACATTTCTTGTAAGACTGCTTTAGTGAAATTTTTATTTTATTTTATTTAAAGATTTATTTATTTATTTGAGAGAGCGAGAATGAGAGAGAGTACATGAGAGGGGGGAGGGTCAGAGGGAGAAGCAGGCTCCCCGCTGAGCAGGGAGCCCGATGCGGGACTCGATCCCGGGACTCCAGGATCATGACCTGAGCCGAAGGCAGTTGCTTAACCAACTGAGCCACCCAGGCGCCCCCTTGCTGCTTTTAAAATTCTCTCTTTATCACTACTTTTTGCCATTTTTAATTACTATGTGTCTTGGTATGGACCTCCTTCAGTTGATTTTGTTGGGGGTTTCTGTGCCTCCAGGATCTGGATTTCTGTTTCCTTCCCCCAATTCGGGAAATTTTCAGCTATTACTTCTTCAAATAAATTTTCTACCCCTCTTTTCTCTTTCTTCTTCTGGAATCTCTATATGGCTAAAGTTATTAAACTTAATGGTGTCACTGAATTCCCTTAATATATTTGCATTTTTTTATTCTTGTTTTCTCTCTCCTATTCAGCTTGATAGCTTTCTATTACTCTGTTCTCCAGGTTGATCTTCCTGCTTCCTCTAGTATTCATTGAGTTCTTCATCTCTGATTGGTTCTTTATTTTCTATCTCCTTGTTGAGGGTCTCACTGAGGTCCTCCACTCTTTACCCCAGTCCAGTGAATATCTGTGACCATTACTTTAAATTCTCTATCAGTTATATTACTTATATCCATTTCATTTAGCTCTCTTGCTATGATTTTTTTTTTCCTATTCCTTCATTTGGGACATATTCCTCTAATTTTGCCTTACTTTCTGTTTCTATGTGTTAGAAAAGTCATCTATGTCTCCTGCTCTTGAAAGTAGTGGCCTTATAAAGAAGAGGTCCTGGAGCGCCCTACAGTGCAATTGCTCCTGTTTACCAGAACCTGGCAGCTCAGGGGTGTCGCCTGTGTGTTGAATGCACGCTACTATTGTGGCTGAGCTTCATTTGCCTTCAGTCCAGTCATCTACAATGGTCTCTGCTTTTGTAGCAGGGTTTGGTCCCTGTGTTAGGGGTCTAGTCTGGTACTGCCTTGGGCTTGAGTTGGGTCAGACCAGGTGTTTGCCAGAGCTGCAGTAGCACAACTGTAGAGCATGTCCCTGTGTTGTCCCGAGAAGTTTTCATTGTTGGGTGAGGCCTGCAGTCAGACCAGATGTCTGTCCCTACCCCACTGCTGGAACTGCTGTGTGTGGTGGTTATCTCCCCCTCTCCCTGGGCAGGAGTCACTTAGGGGTGGTGCTGACTCATCACGGCTGCTTGCACACTGCCATGTTTGTGGCACCTCTTTGGATGGACTCCTACCGAGGGTGTGTTGGAGATAAGTCCACAGAATACAGGGATTGGGACATGCAGTGTTAGCAAGGTCAGTGCTGGTTTGCTGTGAGAGGAATCTGAGATGGGGGCAGATCTGTACAAGTACGCAGGGCCGGGGCACACTGTTAGCAAGCTAGGTGGAGAGGGTTCAAGCTGTGCTGGTTCCTGCAGGTGTCTATATATCTAGGCTGGGCACAGGTGAGAGAAATGGCACCTGCCAATTCCTCTGTTCTTGGAGAAATCTCCCTCCAGCATACACCCCAAGATTAGCAAAAAAATCTCCCTCACGTATACTCCAGGTGTCTTTCAACCTGCTGCTTCTGTATCTCAACGGGGCTGTTTGTGATGTGTCTCTTGAAGGGTGGGGACTCTTTCCTATCACCCTCTGGCCTGCCCAGCTGAGCCCGTGTTTTCTAAAGTTCCAGGTATTAAGCCCCACTGATTGTTAAGAATTGAGAAGTTAAGCCCTTCTGGTTTTCAAAGTCAAATATTATGGGTAATCATCTTCCCTGTGTGGGTCCCCCATGCCTGAGGTGCCTGGTGTAGGGCATGCTCCTTTCACCTTTTGTGCCTGCAGCATCCCTCCCCCCTGTGGATAGTTCTGAGTCAGATTGGCTCTGGATGATGTCTCTACCCTTCCTAAACCCTTCGATGTGGCCTCTTCTTTACATTTAGCTGTGGAGTCTGTCCTGCCAGTCTTTGGGTCATTTTCTGGGTTATTTACGCTGATGTGGATTTTATCCAGGTGTATCCATGGACAAAATAAGCCTAGGATCCTCCTAGTCCACCATCTCCCTGGAAGTCAATTTATTGACTTTAAAAGTTCACTTTAAAAGTTAATGCAATGATATGTATGTATATCTGAAATGGTAATAATTATACATTTTGGTTCTAAATGGCACAGTATATTTTTCTAAAATAAAATTTCTCAATAATTTTTTGAAGAAAATTGAGTATAGCACTTAACTATGACAGTCTTTCAGTGCATATACATACCTCTTAGAATTTACATCGGTGTGTTGCAAATAGGTTACAGGTTTCCTGGATACTTAATCCCTTGGTCCTTGGATGGCCAAGGTCACTTCTGGCCAAGAGCAGCCCTGGTGTGCCATAAGTATAATTTTCTGTGTGTCATGAAGCGGGGGGGTGGGGTGGGGGGGTGGTTAGAAGTCTATACTGGGGGGCACCTGGGTGGCTCAGTCATTACGCGTCTGCCTTCGGCTCAGGTCATGATCCCAGGGTCCTGGGATCGAGCCCCGCATCGGGCTCCCTGCTCTGCGGGAAGCCTGCTTCTCCCTCTCCTACTCCCACTGCTTGTGTTCCCTCTCTCGCTGTGTCTCTCTCTGTCAAATAAATAAATAAAATCTTTAAAAAAAAAAAAAAAAGAAGTCTATATTGGTTGGACATAGTATGGGTACATGTGATAGATTTCAAAAATGGTTCCAATTCTTCACCCTCCCCATAGGCATGTCCTCTGCCATGGAACTTTGCAGGGCACTCTATTCTAACTCTGTGAAAAGCTATGTGATTTGCTTTGGCCAATATGATATGAGAAAATGTGACACAAATGGGAGTCTTGAAAAATGGTTGTGTAATTGATCTTGCCCTGTCACATTCTGACACATAGCCATAATACATGCCTGGGTTAGTCTGCTGCTGGAAAAGACAGGTGGAACAGAATCTCACGATGGATGTGGCTGGCAATGGATGAACACAAGTTACCTCTCTTGAACATGACTTACCTGCTTTTAAACCCAAAATACTTCTTCAAAGCAAAGACTTGGGGTTGGCTCTTTTTATTTCCTTCCCATGGCAGAAACTTAGGAACCAGGGAAACACACAATCTTAATTTTCTTATTTCCTTTGAGGCACTAAGAGGGTATTTCCCTCCTTAATATATACATTAAACATTAGAAAAATACATTTTTTATTAACAAGAGTTTTCACAGGTCTATCTATTCTCTTGGAAAAGACACAAATCCTGTTGTCATCTGCCCATGTGTTATAATTTAGCTGCATCTTTCTCTTATGAGAAAGAGGGAAGATATTACTTACATAATGAGTGTCAGGAGGTGCCTCGTTAGCGCAGTAGGTAGCACGTCAGTCTCATAATGAGTGTCAGGGAGTTTTCGGGCCCACAAAGAGGGATTTAACTTAAAGCTTTTTATAAACACTAATAATACATATACTATTCTAATATAAAAACACTACAATTTAGTTATTCCCCTAATGACAGACATTCAGATTCCTCCAAATTTTTATTATAAACATCACTATAATGTATATTCTTATATATATTGCTCTGCGCACATGCTGTTTTCTAGTATTTCTGGAATTCTAGAAAATGCACTGTTTATATGTATTCAAATAATATTTAATCCTTTGGTACCTACTGACACTCCCACCAACAGTATAGGCGAGTTTCCATTTTCCCTACCTCGGCCGATATGCAATGTTATAAAACTTTACATTTTTTACCAATTTCCCTGATTACCTGGGAGACAGCATCTTTTATAAAAGTATTGGCCATCTTTATTTATTTTTCTATGACTTGGCTGTTAATATCTTTTGTTTCCTTCTCTTCTGTATAATTTTTTTGCTTTTTATTATGAAATAATCTTTTGACTTTCTACATTTTAACCCTCATCTATTATGCACTGACAAATATCTTCTCTCATCCTGTTGTTTTTACAACTATTAATAGAATCAGGTCATAAAGAAATTTTACATTTTGTAATCTATTAATCTTTTATATTCTTGCTTTCTGGGTCTTCAGAAGCCCTCTCAATCTTGAGATTATACACATTTTCGTCTAATAAGTAAATAAAAAATGTCTCTATTTACTGATCCAATTATACCATCTCATTTAATTACCACTTCATAAATATCTTGATATCTGATTGGTTACCTTTTATCTTGGCTGGTTTTGCTCATTAAAATGGTATATGAAGTAAACAATTTTCCAGGTAAATGCAAGCCTAAAAAATCCAAGGAAATAGTAAGAAACTAAAATTCATGACACAAAATATTTAATGTACTAAGCAGGGTTTTTTTTTTTTTTTTTTAAACGTAGAAGTTCAAGAAGTACAAGGATAAATCATAATTTGTGTGTGATAGATTTACATTAATGGATACTAAGAATTATACCTCCTGTTATCTGTATTCCTGTGCAGTTTCCTCTCACACTGACTTTAGACCTGGCCATGTGACTTGCTTTGTTCAATGCAAGAAGAGCAAAATGATGCAAACACAGGCCTGACAAGCTCTTGTATACCAAGGCTTGCCCTCTTGCAAGGTTTTCTCTATCACAGGAATAAGACGAGTCTAGCCTGCTGGAGAATGAGATGCCATGCAGAAAGAACAGAGATGGCCCAATCAGTGATTCATAGATTTTCAAATGTCCTTGTTTTAAATCACTGAGTTTTGAGGTGGTCTGTCGTATAGCAATACAGAAGAGCTACACTTTGTGGAATCTTATCATCTCTTTATGTCTGTGGAAGAACAAATGGATAAAAATTAAGTGGAAAAAATTAAATAATTTGAAAAAAAAATCTTAGTCTTTCAGCAAACTGTAAGAATACTGGACCTGTTGTACTTCTGTTGTATTCCCCCTCTTCCATATCTATTTAGTCCACTTAAGTATTTACAAGAATCAACAGTTTATCTGTTATCCAAAAATTCTATAGGTACAGAATGAGGAAACTGTATCAATGAACAAAGAGTACATGATAAATATTTTTATTTTTAAACACTGAATTGTACATCTTTCATATAAAAGATGAAATTCCAGCCTGTTTTTTAAAAATAATTATACTTACTAATACTTTTACATTTTTTTAATAGAAGCCAATTTCCTCTAAATTTTCAGCTTCGTTCCATAACTTTTACAGAATCATAATCTCTTGACTATATTTCCAATATCCTTTAAAAAATAAAAAATTCATACAAGATAATTTTATTTAACATAGTAAAACTTAACAGGTTACAGTATAACTACCAACCTTCTGGCTATAACTGAATACTTTTCCACTACAGAAAAGCCAAAAGTTGGAGTAATCAATTCTCTGTATTTACTTTTATTAAAAAGAGGTTTTTGGTAGTGAGAACAAATAATCTCTCATTTGTTGCTTGAAAGCCTAAAATAGGATCATTGGTTTCTAGGCTTGCTACTTGCTGCTTAGCAACCTGTCCTACTTGCCTGCCTTCCTTTCTGTTGTAAAGTACAGTGGACATGGCAGTAGGCTGACGGTAGATGAATACTCGACGCAGGCATTCGCACAGGGCTGCATAGGAGTAATTGGGAGCACAGGCAAAAAATTTTTTGTCTCTCTTTGATGCTTGGACGTAGCCTGACAAGAAATAAGAAACAAATAAAAACCCCATATATTAAAAAGAAGAAAAATGTGATTAAACATTTAATATTTCATAGTTTTTATTACAAATTAAAATGCTTCAATAAAATATACACCATAAATATTCAACAGTGGTTGAATTCTGAACCATTAATGATTAGCCGTAATCAGTTTCTCCCAACTGGTGCAAAAATAGCTTTAATTCCTAAGGAACAAAATAGTTAGGGTTTTATCTCTTTAAGAAAAACATAGTTCCTTATTATTTCCATGAACAATTAAAACACTAAAAATCTAAAATCAATAAAACTGAAAACATGTCAAACTATCTGTAAATGCCAGTTTAATAATCAGTTAGGCATTAGACTCCTGATTTCAGCTGAGGTCATGATCTCAGCATTGTAGGATCAAGCTGAGTGACTGGCTCTGAGCTGGGTGTAGAGCCTGCTTGGGATTCTCTCCCTTTCCCTCTGCCGCTCCCCCTGCTTGTGCTTGCTCGCATGCATGCTCTCTCTCTCAAATAAATCTTCAAAAAAAATAATTAAGCTGGGGCGCCTGGGTGGCTCAGATGGTTAAGCGTCTGCCTTCGGCTCAGGTCATGATCTCAGGGTCCTGGGATCGAGTCCCACATCCGGCTCCTGACTCAGCGGGGAGTCTGCTTCTTCCTCTCCCTCTGCCTCTCCCACTGCTCATGCTCTCTCTCTCTCTATCTCTGTGTCTCAAATGAATAAATAAAATCTTTGGAAAAAAAAAATTAGGCTCATCAATCACAGATGTAGCATTACAGAATCTTTTTTATCAAATAAATGGGAAAAAATTATAGAATGCCACTGTAAAGTTATTTCAGGAGTGTGTCTATAATATAGGCCCCAAGCCTGAAAATGCTAATATGACAATGCATTCTCTTATTATTTCTGTAATGTTAGTGGTTATTTTTATACACCAATACCAACAATGTAGTAGGATTCTGTCATACTTCAGCTTCCAGAAGTAGAACCTTGAGATCACTACAAGCTGGAATGAAAATTCAAGTATCTGATTTTAAAAACTCAATTAGGACATCCCTTGAAAACTAAACTTTGGAAAAAATCTTGTCTTTTAAAAAATCTTTACAGGTTAAAAGGGCATTTATGTTCTGAATTACAAATTAGGATTTTCAGATTGGGACATGGTTACAAATGTCATAACATGTGAGAGAAAAAACAGGACACTAATTTAAATTGAGATCTCACCAAATAATGAGCAAAGGAACGACTGAGCACAGGAAGGCCACCACTTTTTTTTTCTAAGATTTTATTTATTTGAGAGAGAGAGCACGTGTGATGCAAGTGAGGGAAGGGGCAGACCGAAAGGGAGAGAATCTCAAGCAGACTCTGTGCTGAGCCCCACATAGGGCTCGATCGCATGACTCTGAGATCATGACTTGAGCTGAAATCAAGAGTTGGACACTTAACCAACTGAGCCACCCAGGTGCATTTCAATACTGGTTTTAATATTAAGCAGAGTTTGAGGAGGAAAAAGTGAAGGGGATGTAGATACCTATTTGAGTATTTTAGAATTAGCTCTCCAGGCTAACCTTGAGAAAATTAATAATGTATATAACATCTCAAGACTACATATCTAATGCAATGTTGATTTAACTTAAATTCAAGTGTAGTAGAATTTGTCTATGATAACGGATTTAGGGATACAAATGAAGAATCTGCGCATATAAAAATTATGATAGCGCTTTCTTTACTGAAAAAAGATTCAGAATTGTGAATTGTAGTACAGAGGCTAGAAATTGTGTGTTTAAATTTTTCAACAAAACTGTATTGCACATCAGAAAAATCCCATTTGGTGTCTGAATTAACCAATTTACGCAGCCTATATTATTAACTATAAAGGGTAACTGACAAATCTCTATAATTAAGGTTGTATTCAGAATGTATAATTTTACTTCCTGTTGCCAGTTTAAAATCACCTAATAAAGCAATAACTGTGCCTAATCGACATAGAAAACTGCTCCCACACAATATTTAGACATAAAATCGATTATTGTATAAGTTTACAATTATGTAGATCAAAGTTTTTTGAGATATAGTTTTAAAACCATTTTCCCTTTTACCCTACAGAATAAATTTGATTTCTGCTTTCCCTGTTTTCATTACAATGGCTCTTTTGCACATAAGTTCCATGACAGATGTCTCCTCGTGTGCATTATCTTAGAGCAATTTTATCATGTTTTTGAAGATTACTCTAAAGAAACCTGAATACAAGTTCCATGTAAAGTATTATGAAACCCACTGTTCATGTTCTAATTCAGTATATTTTACTTAGAATAAACAAATGACTGATTAGAATGATTCAAGTGGTTAGATAACCACTTTGATTTCTAGTCTGTGTTGACCTTCTGTACAAGCATAAAAACAGATTAATTCTACTGTTCTGTTCCAAAAGTACTAACGTTCATCAGCTATAGTAAAAGCAACCAAATTATAGTACAAATCAATCCAAATATAATTAGGACAGCTCAAATTAAAAAAAAAAAAAAAAGAAATTAAAAAAAAAAAGACCATAATTTTTGACATAATGGAAAACGCTTGCAAAGAGTTTGTTTTATACCTAAAGCATTGAAAGTTGCAATATGTTCCCACATATCATCTTGTTTGCTGGAGTGTGGTTGCCAGAGTAGGGCATCAACATCATGGCGCAAACAGAAGCAGGGCATTTCTTTAGGATCCACTATGACAGAGAAAAGGTACTGGTTGCTTCCAAGATTCACCTAAAATAAAAAGTGACAGAATAATTAACAAATAACCATGATGCCAATAATTGACACAGAGTGCTATGTCAGCAGCTTTTCTAAACTTTCTAAATGCATAATCTGATTACCTCTTCAGAAATGCGCCTGGGAGAAATGTGCTAGTGCCATGTCTATTTTATAGTTGGGGAAAATGGTACACAGGGCCTTTAAGTTACTTGCCCAGGGGCAGCCTGGTAATAGTGGAGCTGAGATTTGAACCCAGAATCTATGTTCGTTTCTTTTTTAAAGATTTTATCCATTTATTTGACAGAGAGACAGAGCACAGCCACAGGAGCGGCAGAGGGAGCAGGAGAAGCAGGCTCCCTGTGGGAGCCTGACGCAGGGCTCAATCCCAGGACCCTGGGATCATGACCTGAGCCAAAGGCAGACACTTAACAGACTGAGCCACCCAGGCGCCCCTGGAATTTATGTTCTTAACCACTATACTATACTGCCTCTCAACTGTTAGTAACCTAGTTTAAAACATGATATAAAGCATTAATTTACAGACAGAATATTTTTTAAAACATAGAATACAAATATGAAGTTTACAAAAGGTTAACTTGTAATAATTACCAAGAACAATTATAGCTACTAGGATTTATGAGCATGTGCTTATATGCCAGGCATGTTACAAATATTAATCTCAACCTATAAGGCTATTGTTACCTTCATTTAATAGATAAAAGAACATACTTGGAAAGTTTGAGAACTTGTTTTAGGCTACAAAGAAAAACCACAATGCTGGGATTCAAGTTCAAATCTGTCTTTACAAATTATTGACTTTGACGTACTATTTATAGTATCAATGTCAAGAATGTTTATTATGTTAATTTTTATTGCAATACTGATGACTAAAGGAATTCATTTTAATACAAAACCATCAGGCTGAGACTCATACTTACAAGAATACTTCTTTTAATGAAAATAAGTTGAAATGATATTCTTTATAGAAATGTTATTATTAGAGTTAAAAATGTCTAAATACCATACCAACAAAACCACATCAAATGGAGAAAACATAAAATATGCATAGCACTTGATAAATACTGAACTGCTCTCTTGAGTTTCAGGGTTAAAATGAGAGGTAGAGACCTGACCTGTATTCAATAGGGAAAACTGTGAAATGGCTCTCCAGCTAGAGGGTTTGTGGGTACAGCTGTGCCAGCAGAGGCTCCTGGTCACCGGAGAATCCTGTGACAGAGCAACCCAATTTCTGTTGCCCCAGCAATGCCTGGAGATAGGGCTTCTATTTGTTCTCTACAGAGGGGGGGAGAGGCTGGCAGACAGTGTTCATAGATGATACCTGTGTATACGTATATATACTTACAAGGATGTTTACTGCAGCTTTGTTAATAGAACAGTGAAACACTTAAAACTGGTACATTTATTCTTGGGGGAAAAAAAAAGTGCCCCTTATTCTGACTTAGATGTTCCTTCTCTTCCACTCTCACTTTATATGTATCTCCATTACAGTGGAATCAAAGTACTATTAATTACAAAAACAGCAATTTCACATGGTTTCATTTTGCTCCTGCTAACCACTGGCTAAGTGAGGTTCATTTTCAAAACCACCAACTGCCTGGCCTTTTATAGTAAGTTTGATGGATCCAACACTGCTTCAAGCTCTCTTCTCTGCATGTCCCTCTAATATTCTCATTTATAATTTACCAAGGGCTTTCACAGAAGGAAAAAATAGTTGAAATACAAATAGGGGTTGATATTTTCATAAAAATGCATTTACTTTTATAAGCCAAGTGCCTTAAGAAAGTATTGGGTATTAACAATGAAAATGATGTACCTCTGATCCTCGCATATATGAATGGACAACACTAAGAGAACAGAGGGCCCTGAATCATCAAGTAAAAGGCTAACCACTGAGGGAGATCAGTCATGAAAAAGGGGGATGGGGGTGTAGGTCTCTTGCTATGTGCCCCTTATTCCAACTTAGATGTTCCTTTTCTTCCACTCCCACTTTATACATAGCTCCATTACAGTGAAGTCCAAGTACTCCTAATTACAGAAACCGCAATCTCATATGGTTTGCTTTTGCCATACCTTTCACACCGCATTCTGCCTGGACTCTTCTTGCCCTTTCTTGCCTGATGGATTCCTTCTCACCCTCCAAGATTCCATTCAATATCAGTTGCTCTGGGAACTTCCTCTATTCCCATGGTTATATGAGCTGCTTGAACTCTTGAGAACCCTCAGCATCAAGTATATCATTCCAAACGAATTTTCATATTTGTGTGAGATTCTTAATATGCATGTATACCATCCATGGTATGCTGACTAATGTACCACCCCCACCCAATGTCCACATCTTAATCCCATGGAACCTACGAATATGTTACCTTTCAAGGCAAAAGGGGCTTTGCAGATATGACTAAGTTAAGGATCTTGAACTGGAAAGCTAATCCTGGACTACCTGGATGGGCCCAATGTATTAACAAGGTTTTTGTTTTGGGTTTTTTTAAGATTGATTGATTTTTTTTATTTATTTTTTTTATATTTATTTATTTATTACTTATTTATTAATTATTTATTATTTATTATTTATTTATTTATTTATTTATTTATTTATTTATTTAGACAGAGAGAGAGAGATAGCAAGAGCAGGAACACAAGCAGGGGGAGTGGGAGAGGGAGAAGCAAGCTTCCCGCCGAGCAGGGAGCCCGATGTGGGGCTCCATCCCAGGACCCTGGGATCATGACCTGAGCTGAAGGCAGATGCTTAACGACTGAGCCACCCAGGCACCCCTAGCATAATTTTGAAGGGCTCTAGGATTTTCAGAATGGTAAATGAGCACTGGCTTCAACTTAAAAACACCAGCTGAACTCACCCCCAACAAACAGTCAAGCCTGTCCTTTGCAGCTTTGAAACCAGGCACTGACTTCTCCTTTCCAGCTATGAAAAGTCCTAGGTGGCATCTTCTTCCAATATAAAGCTGTTTTGACTACACTGAAAATCTGTTGTTTAGTGTAGTCACCATCATTAATGATCTTAGCTAGACTTTCTGGATAACTTGCTGTGCCTCACCTTGTAATTTCATGTTATGGAGATGGCTTCTTTCCTTAAACCTCATGAACCAAGCTCTGCTACCTTCAAACTTTTCTTCTACAGCTCTTTACCTCTTCCAGGCCTTCATAGAATTGAAGAGAGTTGGGGTCTTGCTCTGGGTTCGTCTTTGGCTTCAGGGAATGTTGTGCCTGGTTTTATCTTCTGTCCAGACCACTAAAACTTTCTCTGTATCAGTTAAGGCTGTTTTGCTTTCTTATCACTGGTGTGTTCACTGGAGTAGCACTTTTAATTTCCTTTAAGAACTTCTCCGGAGTGCCTGGGTGGCTCAGGCATGAAGCGCATGCCTTCGGCTCAGGTAATGATCCCAGGGTCCAGGGATGAAGCCCCGCATTGGGCTCCCTGCTCCGCGGGAAGCCTGCTTCTCCCCTCTCCCTCTGCCCCTGCTTGTGTTCCCTCTCTCGCTGTGTCTCTCTCTGTCAAATAAATAAATAAATATAGTCTTAAAAAAAAAAAAAGAACTTTCCCTTTGCATTCACAACGTGGCTAGCCATTTGGGGAAAGCAGCCTAGCTTTTGATTTTAAAATGACAGACATGTGATCTTTCCTTTCACTTTAATGCTTAGAAGCCATTGTAGGGTTATTAATTGGACTAATTTCAATATTGATGTGTCTTAGGGAATAGGGAAGGTTAGAGAGGGAGAGAAGGGAATGGCAAGGTTGGTCAAGCAGTCAGAATACATACAACATTTATAGATTAAGTTTGCCATCTTATATGAGCAAGGTTTGTGGCACCCCAAAACAATTACAATAGTTAACAATAAAGATCAATGATCATAGATGACTGTAACAAATACAATTTTTCAAATTTTTTTATTATTATAAGAATTACCAAAATGTGACAAGGAGACACAGTGAGCAAATGCTGTTGGAAAAATGGCTCAATAGACTTGCTCAGCACAGGGTTGCCAGAAACCTTCAATTGTGAAAAAACCAAACCAAACCAAACCAAAACAAAAACAAGAAAAACAACAACAAACGAAAACACTGCATCTATGAAGCACAATAAAAGGAGGTATGCCTGAACTTTATGCCATACTCAAATAATACCTTCTCTTCTCAGTTTTCTCCGTTAATAAAAAGAAATAAGGCAACAATAGTTTATACCTCTCCTATAAAACTTATCTCATTTCCTTTATATGCTCTTTGAGGGTGAGGCCTATGACTCTAGGTGGGCTACTTAGCCCCTACTTCATTCTCCTGTAAATATGACAATAATAGTACTTATTTCACAATTGTTATAATCAGTAAAATATATTTCAAGCACCTGCATAGTGCTTGGAACTTAGAAAGACCTTAGTAAACCAAATATTCTTTATCGCCATTCTAGGCATCTTCTATAGATTCTTCCTTAAATATTATTGGCATTCCAAATTAAACAAAGGAGATGAACATTAATGGGGAAAGCATAGCAACTTAGCAATGATCTTCATGAAATCATATAGCACTTAATTTTATGCCTAAGAAATGTGTGAATAGCTATTAAAAAGAAAACCCTTACTCTGTGTTAATCAGCATATTTCATTTAGACAAATTTCTAAACTCTTGCACCATTTCAAAACTAAGAAACGCAAAATTCATCATTCTGCTTGTCATTTTATTGTCAAATAAATTCTATCTATAGTTCCACCTGTATGCCCATCAGTTTTAATTTTATACCTTCCTATAATGCATATGTTTCAGTAGTTTGCAGATCTGCCTAGAAAAAAGTGAACAAATTATTCTTGAAATAAGATTTGGATGCTTTAAATATACTCTCAAAACCAAGTTTCTGGAAGTTTTAAATAAAGCAAATTAAAATTAACTAGTCTGATGATACTAACTGCAAATAATGTGAGAAAAAACATGCTTTAATGAGGTAAACAATTTAGAATTCTTCTATGTGTAGTAAGAGACTGTG